TCCATTGTCTCAGTACCCATGGAAGGTGTTACCTCCAGGTCTTCTTCTGCCCACACTTCATACTGAGAGAAATTGTATGGCTCCTTCAAGTCACACAGCCAGAAAGTGGCAAAGTCCAGACTCCATCCCCAGTGGGTTTCTGGTGGAGGCATGCTCAAACAGAATTTCAAAGAGGGCTTTTCAGCATAGTATCCTCTATGCAAGTCCCAGAGCTAAGAACTTGAACTTAGAAAAATGACAATAAGTGGGACACAGGCTTTCAAGTCTGTTTGGTGGTAAAGTTCATGGCTTTATACTTTTTTTGGAAGGAAGTTGAGATGGAGGGATATTTAGTGACTAGCAGAAGTTATGGAGGTGCTGAGATCGTAGAAATAGAAGGGAGAATGACAGAGGGTGTTGGGATTTTGAAAATCTTTTTTTTTTTTTTTTGGAGACAGAGCCTCAAACTGTCCCCCTGGGTAGAGTGCCGTGGCATTACAGTTCACAGCAACCTCCAACTCCTGGGCTTAAGCGAGTCTCTTGCCTCTGCCTCCCAAGTAGCTGGGACCACAGGCGCCCACCACAACGCCCGGCTATTTTTTGGTTGCAGCCGTCATTGTTGTTTGGCGGGTCCAGGCTGGGGATTCGAACCTGCCACCTTAGGTGTATGTGGCTGGTGCCTTAGCCGGTTGAGCTATAGGCGCCGAGCCAGGGTGTTGGGATTTTAGGGTCCGTAGTGTCATTGCTGGGAGTAGACTCCAATCTTCCAGTTTCTGGACCAGGGAGGGCTCTTTAGAAGTAACAAAATCTAAATCTGTGGTTCATGCCTGTAATCTTAGCACTCTGGAAGACTGAGGCAGGTGGATTGCCTGAACTCGCTTCAAAACCAGCTTGAGCAAGTACAAGACCCCATCTCTGAAAAATAGCCAGGTGTTCTGGTGGGTGCCTGTAGTCCCAGCTACTCGGGAGGCTGAGGCAAGAGAATGGCTTGAGCCCAAGAGTTTGAGGTTGTTGTGAGCTATGATGCCAGAGCACTGTACGGAGGGCAATAGTGTGAGACTCTGTCTGGAAAAAAAAAAAAAGATTTATTATGTACCTCTAATATGTATCAATAAAATATTCAAGTGTTTATAAGACCCACGGAGGTAGGATTCCACTTCAATGCAGATGTGTAATTTTGAATGTATGTCACTCTCCTTTTGTCTTAATTTTTGACAGGTGGCTCAATCCCTTGTTTAAGATCGGTCATAAACGGAGATTAGAAGAAGATGACATGTACTCGGTGCTTCCTGAAGATCGCTCCAAGCACCTGGGAGAAGAGCTGCAAGGGTAAGTGAGAGGCAGTGAAAGGAAGGAAGGGTGAGGAAGCAGGAGAGGCCTCCGTGGGTCTGGAATGGGTGCTGCCTTCCTGGCCTGGCCTTCCATGGTGTCCCCTGCAGCCCACATCCCCTAACTTTCCACCAACATTCACCTCCTCTCAGGCTGTCCCGGCTTAGTGTGCCTTTGTGGCCTGGGGGAAACCTGAGTTGCCTGTGCCTGAGTCCTGGATGTGTGCCGTTTAGGGTGACCAGATGTCCCGCTTTTTAACAATTTGTCCCACGTCCTGCAGTGTTTTTAAAAAGTCCCGATTTTTGGAAAGAATGCATGAATGGGCGGGAGAACAAGAAAGGAATATATGGTTTTCGGCTGCCATGTGGCTATTTCACCAGAATATGAGTTTTATATTATTTTTGTTGATTTTATAATGTTAAACTATAATAATAACAAATAATTGTTGAGAAGTGATTATGGAGAACTGCTTATCAAAGTTTGCATTGTTGTCAGGCCAGGTCCCCTGTCCCTGCCCCACCCCTTCCCCACCACCCCCAGCCATGTTGTCCCGCTTTACCAATTTAAAATCTGGTCACCCTAGTGATGTTGGTCCCGGGAGGTGACATCACTGTGGAAGGTGTCTGGCTTGGGTACTCTGTAACAACACTGCAAACCCAGCTAGATTTGGTAGGAGCTTGTTTCCTGAGACTGGAGCCTTCTCCTCAAGGCCTGTATCTCTGATGCTACAGATTCTGTACCACATAATCTCTGAGAAGTCATGTGAGCAATTAGCTGGCATTTATGGGGCAGCCATAAAATGCCCTGTCTGCAATGCTCATCTGTGACCCTGCCACCTCCCCGTTTTACCCTGTGGCAGACAGAGTACACTCTGACTGAACCCAGCTTTTTACTTATTGTAGGTTCTGGGACAAAGAAGTTTTAAGAGCCGAGGATAATGCACAGAAGCCTTCTTTAACAAAAGCAATCATAAAGTGTTATTGGAAGTCCTATTTAGCTTTGGGAATTTTTGCATTAATTGAGGTAAACTCTTTTATGTATGGGGAATTGTTTTTCATTATGTTTTACTGCATGGAGTAAACCTGCCTGCTATTATCAGTATTGATAGGGATGGGGAGCTGAGGGGAGAAGGAGCTAGATGGGGTTTGAATGTATATTAAGGTCTGAGGATAAAGCCTATCTCGGAAGTGCAGTTTAGTTCAGCAGTTCTTTTCATCTGGGTAAATACTTAGGTCACTGAATCTCAAGGGTATTATTGTTTTTCTTTTAAGCAATTAAAATACAGTGTTGTGGAAGAATAGTACTGAAAAGAATAGACATTTTATACCCTGCTAGGACAGTGTTGAGGCTCAGTAAATGTTATAAATGCTAACTAACAATCATTCTTGATGGAACAAGGATCCTACAACCTTAGGGAGTATGTACCCTATGGTTTGGAGGAAGTGAACTTGGATCAGAGCCCAGAATAATGTAAGACATTTGACAGATGCTCCTTAGCCGTGCCAAATCTGATAAATGCTTTCCTAGGAAGGTATTGTCACCTCTCCCCTTCCAGGGAAGCAGATTTTGGGGGTGCCCCAAAGGTTGGAGCTGGCCAAGTGCCTACAAGCTGCCTCTTTTGTGTGGGCCAAGTGTTTTTTTTTTTTTTTTTTTTTTGAGACAGACCCTCAAGCTGTCGCCCTGGGTGGAGTGCTGTGGCATCACAGCTCACAGCAACCTCCAACTCCTGGGCTCAAGCAATTCTCCTGCTTCCGCCTCCCAAGTAGCTGGGACTACAGGCACTTGCCACAATGCCCGGCTATTTTTTGGTTGCAGCTGTCATTATTGTTTGGTGGGGCCAGGCTGGATTGGAATCTACCAGCTCAGCTGTATGTGGCTGGCACCTTAACTGTTTGAACCATAGGCGCCAAGCCGGGCCAGGTGTTTTGAGGCAAAACCCCCTCTGTGGAAAAGGTCTGACTCTGCTGGGAATCCCAAGGAATGCATGCACCTTCTGGTCTGTGAACTTGGTTGTTCGAGTGGATTGCTGGTGGGAAGCAAGAGTCTTGGTGCCTGGCATTGCCAGGAGTACAGAAGTGGATGTTTAGTGGAAAATCAAGGTGGGAAGCCGGGAGGGCAATGAGCTCCATGGCCTTGAAGAGTCCTCCTGTGTGACAGTGCCCTGCCCAGGGGCATGGTACCAGGCAGCCTCCCTGTCTGTCTGTGGCCTGCTGGAGGGAGGCTGAAAATCCAACTGGGGTGGCACGTGCTATCGGTGGTGTCTTAGTGCTCCTTAGGGATGTGGGTGGTCCTGCGAGCATGAGTGTAGCAGGGATAGAAGTTTCTGTTGCTATAAAAGGGTGGCTTTAAATGCAGCAGCTGGGGAGCTGTCACAGTGCATTTTGTTGGGGGTGAGGTACGTGGGCCAGCGGGTTCGCTTGTGGGAGGTACAGCTCGTGGTTAACGTGCTCTATGGATGGGGGTGGGCACCTTGGGCAGCGGAGAGGATGGTAGGTGAGCTCTGCCCTGGGACCCTGTGGAACACAAGGGGAATGTGTCAGCAGAGATCTGGAAGGCCCAGTGGATGGATGTTCTCACTGGAGTCAAAGGTGTGTTGGCTGCGGTGCCATATGGGGAGTGCCACCTTTGAGAGGGCACCTGCCCGCCTGTATCCACTGTGGCTTTGCAAATAGCAAGATGACAGTGCAGACTAACTGGTGGGATTGACTTCTGACCTGGGGGCGGGAGAGGGTGCAGATGCCCTTCAGGCTATCCTGGCTCATCTCTTGCCTGTGCTGGGGTGTCCTAGTGATGATGTTTCTACCTGGTCACCGTAAGTCCCAGTTTGAAATGAATAGGGTGACACGCTGCTGTGGTTGTGGCCACTGTGGGTGGGATTTCCTGGCCAGACATGGCTGCGTAACTGTGGAGAGCAGAAGTCTCCAGATTCTGCGTCAGTGGCTGTGCAGCCTCTCTGTGGGCCTGTGGCCTAGGCCAGGTGACTGGTCAGGGGTGGGTGGGTATGAGCGGCCCACAGGCAGGTGTTGGGTCATCTCTTGGAGGCGGGCTCCCCTCTGCTGCCCCGCTTCTCTGCTTTCCCTTTTGTTACCAGCTGCTTCTGTTGAAAACTGATCACCTTAAAGGAACTTAGGCAGAGGTTGTCTCTCCCTGCCATCAGGGACTGCCAGCAACCTGGGCTGGGGTCTCTTACCCCCAGAAAGTGATGAGATCCCATCTCATAATGAGCTGTGGGTCTTGCTGGGCTAGCTTTTGGAGAAATAGGCACAGAAGTAGAGGCTGCAGAGAGTGGGCTTTCTCCTGAGAGAGGACAGTCCCCTCTCCGGTGTTGGGAGCATTGACGCCAAAGCTGGCTAGCCCTGACAGTACTTCGTGCTGGGGGTGGGAAAGGTCTAGGGAAGCCAGGACTGGGGAGGGCATAATAGGGGTGCAGCTGGCAGAGTGCTGGCCTGCCCTTCAGGAGGCTGGTTGTTGGGCAGTCATGGCAGAAGGGTGGGGAGTAGAGTGCCTAGCCCACGTGAGGGTCCTACTCTGTGCTTCTATAATAGTAGTTGTAGGAAGTACTTGACAAATGCTAGGTGCCAGGCACTGCTGTAAGCACTTGGTATATAATATTATGTTGGCTGACTCAGGTGTGGTAGAAGGTATGCTGGTACTCCTGCTTTTGAGAAGAGGACGCTCAGTGCAAGTAGTCACTTTCGAGTGCCTACACAAAACCGAAGTGGCCTAGCTGGGAGCCAGCCTCAGGTGCTCTGACTTCTGGGCCTAACCATCCCATGACTGGTAAGCTGTTCAGTGACATCTTGAGAACTTTGCCTTCAGGGTCTCAGGTCTTCAGGATTTCTTGAACTTGGCTTAGGATTAGTAAATCAGATGCTCAGAGCTCCCTGGAGCTTCCCTTGGCTATGGGGCTTATAAATTGGGGGTTGTAAATTAGGGTAGAGTGCAGGTTACCATGTCCCCTGGGGCCAGGAAATCAGTGCTATGCTGTATAGCAGCTGAGACCCTGGCCAGCTGAGAGCCTCCAGATGCTTTGGGAAGAACCAGGAGCCCTCTGGAAAGGTGTCCCAGGTGGATGAGAGACATGGCTGCCCTGCTGACTCAAGTTCTTAGACATCCTGGAGGTTAAGACAGCATTCTGAGGTTGGGAGTTTGAGGTACTGTAGTACCCTTGGGTGGATGGGGGAAGGTTGTTGTCTTTGACGGTGATGATACTGTGCTCTGGGCGGCAGTGGAGCTCTGTGTTTTCGCCTTTGGAGGACACTTGGTCTCCTGCTGAGAGGTCGCATCTCTGCACTTTTAAAAGACTTGGATTGTGGAGTGCACATGGGTTGGCTTGACAAGATGAGGAGCCCTGGTCAGTCACATCTGGGGGCTGCTCTTCTGATGTCTGAATACAGTGTCCCTTTTGCAGGCTGGGCACCAGGCCTCAGGTGTCAGGACAGCAGGCTGGGTGGGGCCCATACAGAGCTGGTGGCAGGTCCACCTGAGGGTGCAGTGAAGCCTGGGTTTTTCCCAAGAGAGTGCTTGCTTGTTGGCGCCGCGTTCAGACCAATATCTTGGTGGTTTATGGTGTAAAGTCAGACAGTAGCCGATTATTCTCTAGGTGGTCATGGTGACTAGCAGATGGTGTTCATTTTAACTTTGTCTTGCACCTAATAACTGGTAGAATTTAAGTTTTAACACAGTAGCCAAGTATCATCCCAGCTCAGCTAGAGATAAACCTTGGATCGCCCTTCCAGCCCCCTCCGTGGTGAAGCCTGAGTTCCAATAGACATACTCTTGCTTTCCCAGACTTGCCTTTTGACACTCTGCTGTTTGGAGAGAAGTTAGAAGAAATAACTTATGATGGTGAAGCTAGTGAGTGTCTCTTACATTCTAAAAGTCATCTTAGGTGCTGTTTTGGGTCTCCAACCATTAAAGCTAGTTACTGAGTTAGCAAGAACGTTAGTTTCTTTTTTTCTTTTTCTTTTTTTGCAGTTTTTGGCCAGGGCTGGGTTTGAACCTGCCACCTCCGGCATATGGGGCTGCGCCCTACTCCTTTGAGCCACAGGCACCGCCTAGAACGTTAGTTTCTTAATTGATTTTCTAGAGCAGCTTTCCATTTTGTCATCTTGTACCTGTGCTGCTTATTGGTCTTTGCATTTGAGGTGGTGGGAGATTTAAGCCCAGCACGCCTTGTTTTGTAAAAAGCAGACATTCCTACTGTGACCTTCAGGCCTTTTTAGTTTGTCTGGTGTATGGGAGACCTGTGAAGTTTATCTGTGCCTCTTTAGCCATAGACTAGCAGGGCCTTCCCTGGGTACTAATGTTGGCACCAGTAGGAAGGAGCAGGGTGACATGAGTTTTGCGGGGGAGGCTTTAAGGTTGGGATTTTAAGGCACTGTAGTGCAAACCTCTGTTCTTTTAGAACTGAGGGATGGTTGCAGGGCCGGGAGAAACAAGTACTAGTCTAATGGTGAACAGGTGCTGTAGCCAGTGCTAATTAGAACACAACAGCCTGTGAGTTCCCAGCACGCCTCTCCCCGAAGTGCACCTCCTCTGAGACTGGGATGGGACTGAAGCAAGTCTCCACCCCTGGGAGTCCCGAGGGAGGAGTGTGGCGGCCTCTGAATGGGCCGGTCCCTGCATGGGCTGCTTCTTGGTATCATCCCTAAGCCTTTTCTTTGAGTGATGAGGTGATTTTATTTTTTTTTTTAATAACTCCAGTTCTGCATTTTTTGGTCAACTCTTAGATATAAGGGTCAAGCTTTGTGTGGTTTTTTCCTTTTTAGGTTTTTAAGATTTCTAAAAATGCAAAAATAGAAAAGCATACCAAGCCCTTCTCTGCTCCTAAGGCAGTTTCAGGAATTACCAATTCATGACCAGTCTTGATTTGTTTGAAATCCTGGTCACCATCCCCACCAGATTATTTTGAAGCAGTTCCTAGACATCACATCATTTTATCTATAATATTTTACTGTGTCTTTTGAAAGAAAAGAAATCTTTCCCCTTTATGATGATAATACATCAATATGCATACACAT